CTGACCACCAGAGGGCAGCTCCTGCATTGAGCGTCTGCCCCCTGGTGGTCAGTGTGTGTCATAGTGACCAGTCATTCCCAGTTGTTCTGCTGTTAGGGTCAATTTGCATATTATCCTTTTACTATATAGGATTCTTAGCTTTCAAGTTAAGATAACTAGCATCCCATAAGCTGACATCTATTTTAAAAAATGTATTTGAAATCAACTGTCCATGAAGTCAGTTGGAACCTAAATGTTTTCTTCTCCAGGTCTGTCATGCTAATCCATCAGAAAGGGCTCGTTTTATTCGTTGCATCTATAACTTATTACAGTCATCTAGTCCTGCTGTAAAATATGAAGCCGCTGGAACCTTAGTGACTCTCTCCAGTGCACCTACTGCAATCAAGGTACTGATTATTTATTTTGGTGCCAGTTAAATTATAGGTACTCTGTTTTATCGCTTATGATTTAGTGACATTGCAGTTTACTATGTGGTTACATAGCATTGCATGATATGGAGATAACAGCTACAAATTTCACGAAATTATTTGATTCCTTATGTAGTCTGACTTTGCTTCTTTTCTTCCTTCCTGTTTTCATACATAAATACATGGAGAGAAAGAGAGATAGAAAATACCAATATTTCTAGTTTCAGGGTAATGGTTCTGGTGTTTTAAGCTATCTCCCCATACTTTACATTGAAACTTAGATCTGGGAGAATGAATTCTGGATCCTAAATGATGGGTTCTATAAAAGGTTCCAGTAAGTATATTCAGTAATGGAATATTATCTTTCTCTTCTTTAGTTATTGTATCAAAATTATATAAGGAATCCCTACTATGTTCAGAGAATGAATTATTCTAGAAAGCCAGATTGTATAAAGAGGAGAATTTACTGCTATATACACCAATACTTTAAATTATTAAAAGACTTTTTATATTAAAATAATTTAAAACTTAGAAGTTGCAAAAATAGGACAAAGTTCCCATTACCTTTCATCCAGCTTTCCATAATGTTCATGCCTTACATAACGATTGTATAATTATCAAAACCAAGAAATTGCAATTGGAACAATATTATTACCTAAATTATAGACTAATGCACTTTTTCTTTCCCAGGATCCAGTCCAGGCCTACATTACACTTAGTTGTCATATGTTAGTCTCTTCCAGTCCCTTACAGTTCCTCAACCTGTCCTTGTTTTTCACGATCTTGAGACTTTTGAAGAGTATTGAGTCATTTTGTAAAATATCCCTCAATTTGGGTTTGTCTCGTATTTTCTCATTATTATGGTGAAGCTATACATTTTGGGGGGAGAATACCACAGAAGTCTAAGTATCATAAAGGAGTACATGATGTTGATATATCTTATTAATGGTAATGTTAACTTTGATCAATCAGTTAAAGTGGTGTCTGCCAGATTTCTCCACTATTGAATTATGAATTTTTCTTTCACAATTAGTAATATCATGGGAAGATACTTTGTGCATTTGGTTTATTTCTTGTCAAACTTGCACCAACCAATTTTAGCATCCATCAGTGGACCTTTTCTACAGCAATTATTACTGTGGTATTTTAGTGGTAATTTTCTATTTTCCTCTTTTACATGTACTAATTGGAGTTCTGCAAGGAAGAGCTGCCCCTTCTCCTTCCTCTGTCTTTCCTTCTTTCTTTCTTTATGTCAGTAAGGATATTTTATTGCATGGATTATAATCCAATATTATATTGTCATTTATTTTGTTAATCAAATTGTTCTAGGTCATTGGGAGCTCTTGGAGTTTTGCTCCTCTGCTTTTCATAACTCAGGGTCATCTTAATATTCTTGATTTTTCTGCAATATAATGCAGGTGTGTTGGACCTAAAGTAAAAGGTGCTTAGTAGCTATACTTTTGGGGATTGTTTACCTGCTTTTTTCTCCCTTGTTCCTTAATATCAATCCTTAATTTTTGGTGGTTAATAAGTAGCCTATAGCAGTCCCTTTTCCTCCTTTTGATTTCTGATGCTTTTAATCTTTTGTAAACTTGAAAAACAATGATATTTATTAGAATTTAGGGAATAGAAGAATATATTCCTCTGGAAAAAATGCATAAATTTTTAATGTGGGAGTAGTGAATATATTTTGGCTTCTTGGGGATTTGTTTTCCTTCTTATTTTCAGATTCTATGTTAAAGATAGATGAATGTGTTCTTAAATGTATTTCTTTTTTACATAGGCTGCTGCTCAGTGTTACATTGATTTAATTATTAAGGAGAGTGACAACAATGTAAAGCTCATAGTTCTGGATCGATTGGTCGAATTAAAAGAGCATCCTGCTCATGAACGAGTACTACAGGTAAATGTTTGAAAGAGAAATCTTAAATAAAATCTTTTTCAAATTGAGATAATTTCCAAACCTTGCCATCTTTGTTAGCTTAAATGCTTGGAGACTGGGCAGTTTAAATTTTGCTCAGCTAAAGTATAACTCTTGAGTCATCATTGCCTTTTCGGGTATTGTCTTTGCTATTCAAAAATATTTCTAACATATATTATCTTTTATCTTTTCTATTTGTATTGCACTTGGTATTCTTAGCGATCGAGATAGATTTGTTTTGATTTGGATGTAATTTATATTTCTTGGAAAATAATTGTACTAACTGATTGAAATAAAAGCTGCTTAGATTCTAGAATATTATCAGCATAACTATTAATCTGTGATAATAATGATTATTATAAAAATAAAGCCCCAAAACAGCTGAAGTCATGCTGATCCTGCATCAGAACATCAAAAGTTTTCTATAAAGGACATTATTGGGAAAATTGAAGAAATGTGAATATAGACTGTATATTAATTAATAGTATTAGTATCAATAAGTTCTCTTAATTTGATAATTGTATTGTGGTTATAGAAGAAATTCTTAGTACACTAACATGTTTAGGAGTAGAGAGAGTATGATAAAGCATATATGGTAAAATCTTAACTACTAGTGAATATAAGTTAAGGCTATATAGGAATTTATTCCTAGACTTTTTAGACTTTCTTGTCAGTGAAATTTTTAAAAGATACAAAGTTTTAAAGAAGTAAAATCATTGACAAATTAATTTTGGTATATTTTTAAATATTTATCTGCCATACATTTTTAAGTATGCATCTTTAAAATATTACATTTTCCTGCTGAGCCAGATGTCCCCCGAATACCCTTTTTGTTTGTTTTGTCCAATTTATGGCCATACATCATCATATCTGATTGTTATGTCCCTTAAGTCTTTAATTTGAACAGTTTGTTTGTTTGTTTGTTTGTTTGTGTGTTTTTAATTAATTTTAGAGAGGGGGGAAGGCAGAAAGAGAAAAAGAGAGAGAGAGATTTGTTATTCCATTTATTTATGCATTCATTGGTTGTTTCCTGTATGGGCCCTGACCAGGGATCAAACTGCATATCAGGACTAGGCTCTAACCAACTGAGCTACCCAGTCAGGGCGAGTAATTTTTTTTTCATGACATTGACTTGTTGAAGACACAAGACCAGTTGTCCTGTAAGATGCCCCTCCTCTGGCCCAGCTGGCATTGACTCATGAATCAAGAGGGCACTGGTTTGATTTCCGGTCAAGGTACATACCTGGGTGCAGACTTATCTCCAGTTGGGGGCATGCAGGAGACAGCCGATCAGTGTTTCTCTTTCATCGATGTTTCTATCTCTTCCCTCTCCCTTCTTTCTCAAAAATCAATAAAAAGAGCCTGCGCCAGTTTGGTTCAGTGGATAGAGCATTGGTCCTTGGATTGAAGGGTCTTAGATTCGATTTTGGTCAAGGGCACATACTCCGGTTGCAGGCTCAATCCCGGCCCTGGTTAGGGCGAGTGCAGGAGGCAACCAATCGATGTGCCTCTCTCACATCCATGTTTCTCTCTCTGTGTCTCTCTCTCTCCCTTCCACTCTCTAAAAATTCAATGAAAAAAATACCCTCGGTGAGGATTAACAAAAATGTAATAAAACCAATAAAAACATTTTTTTTAAAAAGATGCCCCACCCTAGCTGTTTTGGCTCAATGGCTAGAGCTTCAGCCTGTGGATAGAAGGGTCCTAGGTTTGATTCCTGTCAAGGGGACATGCCTGGATTGTGGGTTCGATCCCCAGTAAGGGGTGTGCAGGAGGCAGCCAGTCAATGAGTCTCTCTCATCATTGATGTTTTTATCTCTCTCCCTCTCCCTTTCTCTCTAAAATCAATTATATATATATATATAAAATGATGCCCCTCCTCTGGATATCTGGTTACTTTCTGGTGGTGTCATTTAGCTTGTTCCTTAGACTTCTGTATTTCTTATAAATTCTTAAGTTTATATGAAACGTGATAGAGTCAGAGTAAACATTTTCAGTTTGAATGCATCTTATGTGATATTGTATATTTCATATTATATCATTTCAAGAGACCAAAAATATCTGGTTCTTCCACTCAAGTGATCTTATTGTTGATAAAGAATTAAGGTGATGGACAGAACCCTACATTCTTCAGTTAAGATTTTCTGCTTGTGACTAGAAATACTGTTGTTATTTCTGGATATTTTGTTCTTTTTCAGGATCTGGTTATGGACATCCTAAGAGTATTGAGCACACCAGACTTAGAAGTACGCAAGAAAACTCTGCAGTTAGCACTAGATCTTGTCTCTTCTAGAAATGTTGAAGAGGTAAGACAAAACTCTGACAGCAGTTTGTAATCTATGAGGCCATACATGTTGTAATTCTTGCTTATTTTTACTTTGTTCGATAGCTGGTTATTGTCCTGAAGAAGGAAGTGATTAAAACAAATAACGTGTCTGAGCATGAAGATACTGACAAATACAGACAACTCCTTGTGCGAACATTGCATTCCTGTTCTGTCCGATTTCCAGATATGGCTGCAAATGTTATTCCTGTGGTATGTGATTCTGATTACCTTACTTTAGAAATTCACTAAAAGGATTTTGAAAATTCCAGTTAGTCAATAGTTAAATGCTAACTCTTAACTCAGAGGAATAAGGACTTTGACTTCTTTCTCTTCATCAAAACAACAACAACAAATAATATAGTGACAAAAATATCTCCACATATTATTATAATTGATGTTTGTTACTGTTACCAGTAGGGCAAGTAAGTATTTCTTTCAGAGTTTTACCTCTTAAAGTTGAAGGATTCAGTTATAGGAGAAATTCACATATCTAGAATATTTTGTTTTCTGTCACTGTCAGATTAATGAGGTATGTTATTGCAATTTGAAATTTTGCCATTGAGCTCTGAATTTTTTTTCTAAAATGATTTTACTTTTAGTTACAATGTAGGAGGATCCAATTAATTTATGCTGCACATAAAACAGAAAAGTCGTGACTGTTTACATTAATGGTGCTTGTCTCTCAACTTACAGTTTGTTATACATTTGAAAGTTATTAATACATGCTTTGCACATTTCCTTATTAAAAATTGCTTAAGGTTATTAAACCTTAAGTTTAAATTGTTATCCCACGCTGAAGCCGGTTTGGCTCAGTGGATAGAGCGTCGGCCTGCGGACTGAAAGGTCCCGGGTTCGATTCCGGTCAAGGGCATGTACCTGGGTTGCGGACACATCCCCAGTGGGGGATGTGCGGGAGGCAGCTGATCGATGTTTCTCTCTCATCGATGTTTCTAACTCTCTATCTCTCTCCCTTCCTCTCTGTAAAAAATCAATAAAATATATTTTAAAAAATAAAATAAATTAAAAAAATAAATTGTTATCTCATTTCCTTTTTTTCCTAGTTAATGGAATTTCTTAGTGACAGTAATGAAGCGGCAGCTGCTGATGTCTTGGAGTTTGTTCGTGAAGCCATTCAGCGCTTTGATAACCTGAGAATGCTTATTGTTGAGAAGATGCTTGAAGTCTTTCATGCTATTAAATCCGTCAAGTAGGTTTAAAATCTGTTTAAATGTAAAGTTGAGTAAGCACTTTACCAATATCTGTCTTTAAAGAGCCAGTTGATAAAAAATATAAGAGTGGGAAGATGACTTAAGACAATCAAGACAAAAATAAGAATGACAATATTACTTTATACCCACCCTTGGTAGATCCATAATCTGTGGGCAAATTTTTTTTATAGTTGTTAACTAGATTTCTTTATCCTTATTTCCTTTAAAACATTGTGAATCCTAAAGTGACTAAGAACATATTTTTTAAAGGTATTACTTTTTAGATATCATTATTTATTTATATTTCCTTTATCATTTATTGAAGTGAAAGATTACAAATGCAACCTAAATCTGATGTGTGTTTTTTCAGATGGCCTTTACTAATGAGAAAGGACTTTGTCATCCAAACTTTGTTTGATTTAAAGCATCTGATGGATAGATTATAACAGACTTGCATTATATCTGCATAGGTAGAAAATAAGGGGCCATTACAAAGTTGTTTTTCTGATTGAAAATGTATTGATGTTTGTGGAAGTGAGAAAGATTTGCTTTCTTTGTAAGGAAAAAAAATCAAAGTTTTGCTTTTGGCAGCTATGATCTCTAGAATTTTTCAGTTTCTAGAATTTTTTTAAAAGTGAATTTAATGAAAATCTTAGGGAAAAGATGACTAAAGACTTTATTTAGTTTGACATTTTTAACTAGAAAATGGTTGCTTTCTTTTTTTGTTGTTACTGATCCTTTTGTACTCCTTCCTTGTTCATTGTTCTTGTCAGCATCCTGCCTGTACTTTTCAGTGACTACAAATAAAAAGTACTTTTCACATTGAAAAGAACAATTTTTTATAGTAGTAAGTGATAAGATAAACTTTTGCCTTACCTCTGTTGTAAATGGAAGATAACACCTCTCTGGGAAACATTTTGGTATTTTATTTTCACTACTGGGTTTACCAGTCTTAAGGTGTTCCTACTAAAGATAGATGAGGGCACTTATTTTTCTTTTAATGCTTGTGATTTCTGGGAGAATTAAAGAAACTTAGTGTCTTTGTTATATTTCTTAAAATGTCATTCATAATCCCTTGGAACTACAGAATCTTGTTTTCTTACTTGAACTTAAATTCACAAAGAAAAATTGCTTCAAGATTTGTTGACAAGTCAGTGTTTCAGAACTTGTATTCTTGCTTTAGGATTTACCGAGGAGCATTGTGGATCCTGGGAGAATACTGTAGTACCAAGGAAGACATTCAGAGTGTGATGACTGAGGTCCGAAGATCCCTGGGGGAGGTATGTTTTATTTACGTAGTAAATGCTATTTTATTTGGTGATTTTTACTTTAGTACTACTTTTTTTTTCCCCCCAATCTGACTTGTATGTGGTGGTTTACTTTCATGTTTTTATCTGGACTAATGAACACTGAAAAATATATTTTAACTACCCAGATAATTAAGCCTTGAGAGCTGTGGGAAATTTAGGGGTTTCCCTTCCCCTGCGTTGAGCTGTAACACCTATTGTTTTATCTGTATTATTTACTCTTCTGGGAAAGATTTTATTTGAACAGAAGATTCTATGTTTTAGAAAAAGACTTGTAAAACTCTGCTTTAGTCTATGTGTTCTAAAAGAAGAATGCAAATATTTTAGGAACAGGGCTCACTTTATAGTATTTATGTACTAAAACTGGCAGTATTTCCTCATTCAAAAAACCATATGGGCAAATAGAAAGAACAGTGCTTTTTAGAACACCTGGGTTCCAATCTTGCTTCAGCCAATAATTAGCTCTGAGACCTTAGATATAAATTCCTTAACCTGATTGGACATCAGGTTATTTTAAAATAAAGGAATTGATGGATAATAATTGAAGACTCTTACAGCTCTTAAATTAGACAATGGGCTGATATTAAGGAATACATGCATAGTAGCCATTTGTATGTTTTTAAAAAGGTAGTTGATGAAGTTATTTTGTAAAACTAAGATTAATTTTAATTTTTTAAATATATTTTTTATTGATTTCAGAGAGGAAGAGAGAGGGAGAGAGAGAAACATCAGTGATGAGAGATAATCA